GAGAAAGAGCTGGATCAGCATGTAAACAATCCGCACACATGGACCTTTATAAAGAACCATTTATTCATCTATTGACTTTCATTCATTATTTTCAGCAATCACGTCTTTTCCCCTCCCTACATCACAAAGGAAATCAGGAAAGGCTTCATAGAATCAGTAGTAAACTGAGTGAGTAGCTTACTCCATTCATAGTACATTAGTGAGTACCCAGTAGGGATGTTTTGATTTGATTTTTTTTTATTGGCTAGGAATATTTTTGATATTGTAAATTTCCTTTGGGTCACATCAGGACAGGGCACGAAATGGGGCTGAGAGATGGAGCTGTGAGTCCAGCTCACCAGTGCTGAACTTTCTTCTCCATTATGAACTGTCCATGAGGCCCCTCAGCATCTGGGGGCAAAAGGGCCAAGTACACCGGGGTCTCTGCTCCTTCTTCTAGACTTTTAGGGGCCTCTGGTCCCCCCATGTCGGTTCTAACCCAGCCTGGGCAGCAGGCATTCAGGAGAATTTTGTCTCCTTTCCTCTGTTCACTCAGGTTCCTGGCCTGGATTCTCGACAGGACTGTGACACCAATCTTTGAAACTCCATATGCGGTCCTGTTCCAGCCCTCTTTCTCATGCACTTCCTTCTTGGTATCTTCCACAAACTCGTTCATGAGCTCCACCAGGTCCTCCTCTGTGATGGTCTCACTGCGGAACTTCTGCTGCAGCTCTGGGCTGCAGTTTTTAAGGGCTTTGAGACTCTCCTTGCTAGACACATTCACCACTCTGCCTAAAATACACCACAGATCATTATGTAGAAAGGAATGCACCAGAATGCTGATGGCTAAATTTGCTATGATTTTGGACTAGGAAGTTTTCATATGAGAGACCCTCACCAGAATGAATTCTCAGAGGCCAATGCATAGAGGTGTGGTAGTTGCATAACAAACGCCATTCCTGCCTTTAAACTTTAGCTGAGTAGAGCAGTCAGGTGACATTTGGAAGAGCTGCCCTTAGAGGGTCTAGTGAAGCAGAGTCTTAGACATAGTACCACATTCCAGAGAGACAGGACGAGGAAACAGGAGAGGAGGTGAGAGTCCATGGAAATACTCAACTCCAGGCCACACACTTTAATCTTTCTAAATGTGGCTGCTTCAATCCACAACTGCAAAGGTATGGAACCACCTAAGTGCCTACCAACTGATGATGAGATAAAGAATATATGGTATATTTATTTATATGCCATGGAATATTACTCTGCAATGAAAAGGAATGAAATAATGTCTTCTGCAGCAACTTGGATGAAATAGGAGGCCGTTATTCTAAGTGAAGTAACATAGGAAAAAAGAACCATATACAATATGTTCTCTCTTGTAAGTGGGAGCTAAGCAATGGGTATGTGTCGTCATGCAGAGTGACTTAGTGGATATTGGATACTCTGAAGGAGGGCAATGGGGACTTTGAGATGAAAAATTACTCTTTGTGTACAATATACACCAGTCAGGTTAACGGTATATTATAAGCCTAGACTCCTCCACTATGCAATTCTGCCATGTAACAAAAAACCTCTTGTACCCCTTAATTCTATCTTTCTTTGTAAAAAAGTGGCCACCTGTATTAATTGCTGCATTTTTAATGGGTGGATTCACCTCAAGTCCCATTAACCTGGGTTAAGCACTACAGTAGTTTACAATCAAACACATACGGCGGTCATGTCTAGAACACTGAGCACGATGAAGGGGAGTTAACATGAGCCTGGAGCTAGTCAGCGGCAGATTATGTACATCCTTATAAACCATGCTGTGCGCTTGGACTTTGCTTGTAAAGGATCTCAGGGGAGGGGAGTGCCATGCAGACAGTATGCAGGATGCGGGGAATGGAAAAGACTCGAGAAAGGAGGTTCCTTAGCAGGGTCTGAAGTTGTCCAGGATGACAGACGAGGGCCTGTTGTAGAGCTGGCATGAGGTAGATTCAGGATAACCTCCGTGGGCACAGCTCCTAGGCCCTGGTAAGTGATGATATGGGGCAGGGCATGGTGACCTACAGGATCCTGGTGGGTGGACAGTGGGATCAGTGGCCAAGAAGATTTAGGGAGAAGGATGAACACCCTTTGGAAATGTGTGTTTTATTATAGATTGGGAGTGGGAGCATCTCTGGGAGTGTTCTAGGCAGGTGAGACATTTTAGAAGGGCCTGGCGGATTGGTGGTAGTGAAGGCTCCACCAGCCTGAATAAGATCAGTCTGATGGAGCAGAGAGAGGGCGCAGGATGAAATCCTACTGCACTGCAACGT